TCCCCCTTCCGCCCTCTCCCCACCCCCCGCCGGCCCCCGCGCCCCGCACAAGAAAAGCGCGCTGGCCACGGCGGCACCGATGGGAATATGTGGCGCAGACGCCGCGCGCGCGACACACACACACACACAGACACACACACACACGCGAGCACAACACCAGCCAGCGGTGAGATGATCTGAGGCACGCATACGCACGCACGCACACACTTAGCTCGAGGGGGCCGCAGCCAGGCGGGCCTGGACAATGCCAACCTCCTCCTGGCTGAAGGCCTGCGACGCGACGGACCACACATTGACGCGCTGGCCGAACTCGGCCACCAGGCGCCGGACCAGGTTCACCACGCGGGCCTCGGTCTCGGCATCGGCCTCGAGCACCTGCTTGGCGACAGCCGAAGCCAGAGCCGCAACCACCTGCGGCACGCCGGCCTCCGACCCGCCGATCATGACATTGAGGTTCATCTCGACCATGTCACAGAGGAGGTTGTGAACGAGGCTCGACTCGGTGATGTCGAAAGTCAACGGCAGCCAGGACAGCCAACGGGAAATGACCTCGAAGAAGGAGCTGGCATTCAGAGCCCGGGCCACGGCCTCGGCACCCTGCTCGCTGGAGAAGCCGATGAACTTGATGATCTTCCCGACGGCCGAGATGGCATTCTCCGTGGCATAGATGTTGTCGGCATTGCGGGAGTCTGAAGCAAGGATGACGGTGGCCACCGAGGGCAGGGCCTCCAGGCAGTAGGCGGCGAAGTTCATGCCGCCAAACATGGCGCACGTGCCAATGCCATAGACGCAAATCTGACGAAGCTCCGGGCTCTGGCTCATGACGCCCTCCAGCATCAGCTGGCGGAAGAGGCCGGAATACTCGAACGAATCGGGCCCCAGATACTCGATGATGTCCACCAGGAAGGACATGGCCCAGCGCCGGGACTCCTGGTCGCCGCCATTCAGCATGTCCGAGAAAACCGGGTACAGCGAGCGGAAGTGGTTCAGGAAGTGCATCCGATGGGTGCGCCAGATGGCGGTGAACAGCTCGCTGGTGTACATCATCACCTGGGTCTCCTCGTGCTCGCCCATGCGGATGGACTCCTCGGCCTCCTCGTCGTAGTCCTCCGAGTGGCGCTGCTGGTTGCGCTCCTGGTTGCGGTCATTCAGCTCGGTGAAATGCTGGGCAATGATGCTGACCACCTCGGCCAGGTGGGCATCCCCCAGGCAGTTGTCCCCCATGACGTCGATCAGGTCGGTCAGGGTCTTGAGGAAGTGCCCGTAAATGGAGATGGACGGCTCGGTCTTGATGGCACGCAGCAGCTCCGGCACCAGGGCCGACCACATGGCACCGAGCTGCTGCTGCTGGTTGGCCAGCTTGACGGACATCAGCATCGGCGGCAGGGCACACGCCGCATAGTAACGGGCATCCTCATCATACAGGAAGGTCAGCTGGCGGAAGACCACGTCGAAGAGGTGGGCCGCGTGCTGGTGGAAGTGGGCCTTCAGCTTGGAGGCGAAGACACCGATGGTGTCCAGGGCCACGGCCTTGTCCTCCAGCATGGAGGTCTTGATGCCGATGCGGCGGCCATCATAATCGTAGAACATCCAGCCCTGGTTCTGCTCCTCGGTGGTATCGCGGTGGACATCGACGATGGTGATCTCCGGGGTGATGTCGGCCGCGGTCTTCAGGTGGGGAATGACATACGGCAGGAAGTTCAGGAACTCCGGGCCCATGACCGAGCCGATGCGCGCGCACGAGGTCATCAGGTAGGAGGTGGTCTGGGAGATCTCGGTCTCCTGCGGGCGGCTGACCATCAGCTGCACGAAAATGTTCATCACCTCGGTGGCGTCGTGCAGGAAGAGCTCCTTGCCGACAGCGTCACCGACCATGGAGATGCAGTCGAAGGTGTGGATGAACAGGAGCTCGGTGTCGGCGTTGCCCTTGGAGGAGTTGAGAATGTCCTTGAGGATGGGCATGAAGTTGGCGTAGTGCTGTGGGAGGGGGGGGGGGAAAAGGAGGAGGGGAGGGTGAGCCAGAGAAAAAGGGAGAAAGAGAGGAATGAACCGAAGCACGCCGCGAGAGGGGGATGATGTACCTTGGCAAAGAGGCTGCCCGCGCTCTCGGCAACGGTGGCAATGGTGGCGACCGCCTGCTCCAGGACGTAGTACGGGAAGGCCGGGTTCAGGAGCTCGCTCAGCTGCGCCAGGATGGTGTCCAGGTACTCGTGGATGACACGGCTGCTGGCGCCGTCGGCGAAGTTGACAAAGGCCGCGGCGGCGTGGGTGCGCGAGCGGGTGCTAGACGGGTCGCTCATGACCGACAGCAGGGCCGGCACGACGATGCCATGGTACTGGGTCTGGAAGTCGGGCTTGAAATCGGTCGCCAGCTGGCCGACGGTGTTGGCGAAGGCATAGCGGACGCGGGGGTGCGGGTCGACGGCCAGGGGCTTGATGGCGCTGTTTTGTCGTGGCGGCAGAGGGCGGGGGGAGGGGGGGGGGCAAGGGCGCTGGGGTGGAAAAGAGAAAAAAAAGGAAGGCCGGGGGCCTACGCGTGGGGAGGAAAAAAACAAGGACGGGGAGGACGACCCCCGGGGAGCTTGTGTGCTGGCATGTGCGTGTGAGATGATTTGGTCATGTGTGTATAATACAAGCGCCGTTCGTTGGCAGTTTCTGGGCAAGGACAGGGGTGTGACTTTGGGAGGCGTAGGCCGCAGGGGGCGGGAGAGGCGGAGGGAAGAGTGGCGGACATCGCTGCCGGGAAGAGAGGGGGGGGGGGGGGGGGGGGGGGGGGGGGGGGGGGGGGGGGGGGTGGGGGGGGGGGGGGGGGGGGGGTGGGGGGGGGGGGGGGGGGGGGGGGGGGGGGGTGGGGGGGGGGGGGGGGGGGGGGGGGGGGGGGGGGGTGGGGGGGGGGGGGGGGGGGGGGGGGGGGGGGGGGAGAGACAGAAAAGAGAGGGGTGAGTCGGGACATGGGAGCAAGACCCCGGCCATGGGGGGAGGGAGGAAAGAACAGAGACCGCCGGGAGGAGAGGGGGGGGGGGACCGCGCGAGCACACGCACTTCAGGATGTTATCCAGCTGGGAGAACATGTAGCGGCCGCAGCCCTCGGCGGTGGCCGACAGGGCGGTGACACCGGCGTAGCGGTACTGCCACTGGGCATTGGTCAGCATCGGGGGCACGATGCTGAAGAGCACCGGGGCGAAGGTCTTCCCGCGGACGGCGCAGGCAATGCGGTCGATGGCCTGCTCGCCGACCATGGCATTGGAGGTGTAGTCCTCCTGGTTGAGCTCGGTGGTGCTGTGCCACTCGGGGTCATCCTCGATGTCGACCATCAGCTGGAAGCACAGGGGCGACACCTGGCTGACGAAGTTCGGCATCTTGCGGAAGCGCCCGGGCATGCACTCGGTCAGGGAGACAATCAGCTCCAGGGCCAGGTGGCGGGTGGACTGGGCCACGGTCTCCGACGACACGATCTTGATCATGACCTGGGTGATGTCAGCCAGGTGGGACTTGAAGAAGCCCGGGGAAACGGGAGCCAGCTCGACCAGCTGCTCCAGCGAGGCGTCCACGGCGTCGTGGTTCTGAGAAACGAAATCCAGGATCGTCTGGATGATGGGGACCGTCAGCCCGGCGAAGGCCCGGTGCAGCTCCGGCCGGTTGACATGGCGCAGGAAGGACATGGTGGCGGACATGGCCTCGGCGCGCAGGGTGGGCGAGGGGGCCGGCTCCTCCGGCTTCAGGGACTTCAGCAGAATCTCCGAAATGACCCCGGCATACTTGGACACGTCGTCGCCGAAGATGTTCGGACAGGAGGTGAAGATCTCCAGGGCCGCCTCGCGGTGGGCCACATTCGGCGAGTTGCAGCACTGGAACATGAAGGGCAGGAGCTCCTCCCAGCCGGAGGAGGAGTTGGAGCTGGAGCTGCGCACCAGCTCCGAGATGACATGGGCAATGCGCACACGGTGGGACTTGTCCTGCTCGTTCTGCATGCAGCCGAGGATGACCGTCTTGCAGTGGGCCGCGGTCTGGGGGGTGACGCGGTTCCACAGGGAGTCGGTCTCGTGGGCGATGTTGAAGGCCGACCGGCGGAAGAGAATGACGGCGAGGGTGCGGATCTGCGGGCCACAAAGGAGGGCAGATGCCGAGAGTGGGGGGAGGGGCAGGGGGCGAGGGGGGGGGGGGACGAGAAGGTGAGCCATGAGAAGACGAAGAGAGGGATGGGGAGGGCAACTCGAGAGAGAGAGAGAGAGAGGGGGGGGCAGCAGTGCAAACGGGGGGAGGAGAGGTCCGTACGCTGTTGTTCTCACCCTGCACGTGGGCGCAAGCAAAAGGGGCACCACGACAAGCAGGGCGGAAGGCGGGGGGGAGGAGCCCGAGGAAGAAGAGAGACACGCGGGTCAGCAACCGGGGGAGCGCGCGCTTCCATGAGCGCGACTAGGGGGACATGACAATGGGGGAAGGCGGGTGCAAGAGCGGGCAGAAAGAGGAGGGACGGACAGTCGGCATGGCCGGCTTGGAGAAAAGGTCCGCCAGGGTGTGGAGGGTCCAGTCGGGCTGGTCCACGGTCAGCTGGCCGTAGGTGGCCTCGGCGCTCGAGCGGATGGCATTGTCCGAGTTCTGCAGGCTGTTCAGCAGGTTGATGAACTGAACTTGCTCCATGATTGCTTGTCTTGGAGTCCTACACTGGCGGGGTAGTACGAGAAGTGGGTGCGGAGTTAGCGCGAAGGGAAGGAGGTAGGGGAAGGGGGGGAGGGGGAGAGCAGGGCCACCGAACGGGGCGATCCGCTGGGTGCGCGAAAAGCGAGAGGGGGAGGGGGCGGAGAGAGAGAGAGAGAGAGAGGGACGAGGGGGAAGTGGGCGGGCGGGCGGGCGGGCGGGCGGGCGGGCGTGCATGAGGCAGGGGATGCGGGCGGAAGGGAAGGAGGAGGGAGGGGGGAGGCCGTGAAAGATGACAACCTTCGACAGAGAGAGGCAAAGCAAAGGTGAGATCCAACAGGGTGGGGGTAGACCGGCGGACAGGCGAGGCAGGCAGCGCCGCCTGAACAATGCGCGCACGGGTCCGTGCGCGTGCGTGCTTGCGAGGAGGGAAGGGGGGTCGGCGTGGCCCCGCGCGCGCGCGCGCGCACGCATGCGCCTGTGCCTGCGCCCGAGCCCAAGCCCGAGCCCGCGCCAGGGCCCGCAATCCCGGACAACTGAGCGTGGGGGCCGGGGGAGACACACGGAGAGGGCCCTCCGCCACCCGGGCACCCGCCTCTGTCCCCTCCCGCCGGCCCAGCCCTCCATGTGGGGGGGGGGCTGGGACCGGGGCGCCGCGGGAACCGCCCCCCCCCCCCCGGAACGCCTTGCGCGCGTACTATGCCCGTGCCCTGGCGCGTCGTCCCGCCGAACGGCTAGCGGGCACACGAGGGGGGGGGGGGGCTAGGCCCAACTGACTTCTCTCCCCGGCCCCAGGGCTGCCGGAGGACAAGCGGGCGGCGCACACCCTGGTCGACCCCCCCCCCCCCCCCCCCCCCCCC